CAACATTCACTGGACTGTGCCTGTCGTGCATGTTTCCACGATTTGTTATCTGAGACATAAAAGACATGATAACAGCAGACATCTAAAAGTCATGCCCACTAATTCAGTGTTTAGAAAAACAGCCATGGATGCTCGGTTTTGAAACCTTAGTGTCCTCGGAAGTGACTGGTTATTTTATGATTCAAATGATGCAGGATCTCCCTACTCACTGCAGTGATTATTTTAAGAATTCAGGGAAGCTGTTGAAATGAATCTTTTTTTAGTGCGTTTACATGATAGCAGGTCTCATTTAAAGACTTTCTGGCTACTACACCATCCGAGTAAAAGTCTCCTGTGGCAGACATCTGTGCAGAGTTTCAGGACTATTTGCTTTTGAGCTCCATCTGCTGGAATTGTTTCCCACATCTTTGGTGTTATTACTCTGCCAGGTTTCTCAGGAATTGGTTTTAACCTAAGATAATAAGGAACAATGTTCACAGTTCAGAGGAATTTCTAGCAAGTCATTGGTCCTTTTGTTTAAAGAATCAACCTAAGGTTGCTTGGAGAATACCAGGCTCAAAACACTAAATAATTCTGAGGCTGAGGAAAAGAAGTCTTAGTTCTTCTTCCACGTCTGTTTACAGAGTTAGTTTCTACATATTTTATAGAGATTTGGATTATTCAGATCAGTCATAACCTATCAAGTTCTGCATGAGATTTCAAAATCAGGTTACTCACTTTACTCATTTTTCTGAATTAGCTTTTTGTTTTGTTTTCTCCTGATGTCTGTTGATACTCTGTGACAAAGAAAATCAGCAGTGTTTTCAATATTTAATTAACTTTTTAAAAAGTTAGTCTTCCCCATTGTAACTGTGTTTCTAGTATTTCAGAATATTGAGGACAGAAAGGACCGTGATGAACATCTAATTTGATTTTCATAGTTCCATTGTTCCCTGACAAAAATGTACTGCGAAGAATAATGTGCAAAATTGGAAAAGAGGGTCCTGCTGTGCAAAACTACTCTAAAACTGGTTAAGTAGTCAAAGGCTTTCACGGTGAATTACATGATGACTTTCTACAAGTGTTCTTTGTAAGGAGCACCATTCTCTGTTCAGAGGATATATTGTAATGTTCACGTCAATAGTAATGTATATGTGTAGAATTAGGATTGCCTCCAGCCAGCCCTTGAGTGCTGGCAGTGTGTGTAATTCTAAAGAACAAGCACTTCTCTGGAAGAATTACTGTCTCAAAAAGCCAACCACCTACATTTTGAACTTTCCTTTTCTTTAGTTGGCAGGACAGTACTACCCTCCTTCTGCCTGCCCCTAATGCTAGGTGTTACTAAGGTGTATTCTGTTTCATAATGGGTTTGTGTATATGGTAATTTCAAGTATTATTTCCTCACTGTCCATCTGCCTGTTAGCAACAGTTTGTGTTCACTTATGATGTTTGCAATTTCTTTTTTTTTTTCTACACAGCAAACTTTGCCTGAACTGGTTTTAGGTCCTTGATGTGGGTAACTCTACACTGTTATACCTGAGTCTTGGGAATAGAGCTAGAGAGGAGGAGATGGAGAATGGAGAAAGGGCTTGATATTAAAGATAAGTGTTCTCTTTTTTTTCAGTCCTGCCTTGTATTTCTTATGGACATGGCACACCACACTCCGTGGGGTACTCCACAGGTGCCCGAGCTTGTTCCAGCCTGAGCTGGTCTGTCTGCCTCCGCATTCCACTCAGTAATGCTGCTGGGGCTCATAACCCCAGAGCCCTGGTCAGGGTTCCTTGGTCAGGCAGAGCACTGTGCTGATCCAGCTGTGTAACTCCCAATTTTGCTGCTCGTTCAGGCTCCACACCCATCGTGCAGGGTCCACGTGTGCTGTGGGACAGCAGCTAAGTGGTGTAAGCCTGCTCTGCAGTAACCTGGGCACCTGGATGTTGGATGCTTTGCTTCCTGCAGGGTTGTCGGGACCAGATCGTTGTTGTGTATGCAGCAATGTACTTCACTGAAAAGCCTATTTGCTTTTTTAGAAAGTAATTATAATAATAGTTTCCTTAGGCTTCTGCATGGGACAAAACCATCAGTTATTTTTCACATAGGTTTTGAGGGATATTGTCTGTATTTCCTGACAGCTCCCTACAAAATGGAAAGATAGCTAAGGTGTCTCTTGATCACTTGACTTCATTGTTAAAGGGGTATGTGGTACCTTATGCTGGTATTGAAGTGGCGTGTTTTAGGGCCAGTATTTTTCAGACCTACAAGGTGTAGGCAATGGAAGGATCGAGACTCTATTAGTTACTGCTACTGTGCTCTGGGACTGCAGCTGGCTGGTAACTCTTTTCCACTGTAAAGTAAGTTAATTGTCACTATTATTTCTATAATGACAAGTAATTCGGACTTAAAATTATTCCGTGAGTCATCATGGTCAAACCCCCCTTATGGGTCACTTCTGTTCATGGGGCAGAAGCATGAGGGTTTTGTTGGTTTTAGTACAGACCCAAATTCTAATTAATAATCCCGTGTCCCAAACATGCTGTTCTGATTAGAGGCCCTTTGCCTAGGCATTTCTGTGTAGCCTGCCCTGTTTGAAACCCTGCCTTTTTCTGACTTCACTTCCTGAATCCGTTGACAACACTCGCAGCCAAACAAAATACACGTTCACAATGCTGTTATTTGCAAAATATTCCCTTGTGAGTACAGCTGGGGCAACAAAAAGAGTTTCTCTGAATCTCAGAGAACTGCTTATCCCTGATAGAAGTACGGCGCATAGTGCATCAGGCAGTTGAATCTCAGCAGTTAAGTAAGTGCTAAAACTTCACATTTTGCCACATCCCAACGCACACACGCGTCTTTCATTACAGTTGTGTGTATTGATCATGGAGTGAGCCAGTAATATACTAAGAGTGCTGATTTTTATCTGCAAAGTGAACCAGATAGCAAGAGGCTCAGAACCCACCACACTGTTCACAAAACAGATGGAGGTAGAGCGAATATTAACTTACTTTGCCCTGTCTTAGGCCTGACCCTCAAACGAGAAGTGGGACCAAAGAAAGGCTTCATCTAAATCATCCCTCTTGTGAGACTGCATAACCAACACCGAAATCCACCATGCTTGGCGGTGGATTCTGTGACTGGGCAGCAGGAGCTCCTGAGCTGGGCCGGGTCAGGTCGCTGGTGTTGCAGAGGACAGAGGACAGCCGGCTGGCCGCCACCCGCTGCGCCAGCCCTGAGAGCAGTGCCATGGCTCAAGAGCTGTCTGCCCGTGCTGCAGGACGTGGTACACAGCACTGCAGTGCTACATGTCCTGTGTGCGCCTACTAGGGTAGGGTGGAGCAGACTGTCACTCAGCTGTGTTTAATTAACATAGTATTTTATATAATGTATTTATTTTTTACATAATTAGGTGATTAAGCAGAATGCTTGCTTGTAACATCTATTCCATAACCCAGCACTGTTGAGAGCTAAACATGCACCTTTGCAGGTAATTAATCTCCTTGCCCTGCTTATTTTGCTAGTTGGCACTTGCTAAATCCCTGTAAAACCACACCCAGCAGTGCTGTGTATTATCCCTCTGCTGTCTATTCCTACATATGGTCAAAATCAACTTACCTTCCGGGTTGCTGACATCAGCAAAATGTACTCTTGGCAAACTCCAGTATCCTCCTAGTAACCCTTTGTTTGGTGGGTGTTGTTACAATTGTATTCCTCTGACAGCAGCAAACACCGTGTAAAGGGGGCCTACCTTGACACTTGGATTATGACGTGCAAGGAGATTACCGTAATATCGCATTTTAAACATTAAAACAACCCCTTATATGAGAAAATGCATATAATATGGGGGAAAAAAGTTAGAGGAAAGATACTTCTTTAATGTCTGTAAGGAACTGACCCACTGTAGTTGCAGGTTTCAGGATATTGTGTTGATAATTGGATACATATACCTTTACTGTTATCTTGTCCTCTTGCGAAGTGACCTTAAACAAGACTATCACTTCAATTAAAATTGTTTATTCCTATTTTAAGGAAAAGACATTTTTAAGACTGCCTGCTCTAAAAACTTAGCATTTACTAGTAATGGATTTCTAATATTTTCTGGCTGTCTTTTGATGGCATCTCTTCGTTCTTAGCTGTTTAGTTCTAAACAGCAAGCAGGAAAACATCTGGCCTCCTTTCAAATATATGCTTATTAAACAAAATTAATTTGGTACAGTGTTGAAAATCCTGGTATAATAATTGTTCCCCTGATGAGTTAAGTAGCATGTTTCTAAGGCATATATTTATATTGCCATTGTACTAAACTCTAAGATTATTTTATAAAAAAATACATGCGGAGTGCCAGGGAAGTTGCCATTTTCAGCAGGTTGCTGAAAACAAGCAACAGGAGTTACTGTTTTTCAGCAAATTGCTCTTTTCATTTCCCCCTAGGTTGTTTTCTCAGCTTTTCTATTGCTTAAAAGCTAAGAACCCATAGTGACACCCAGAAGGGACAGGATTTCAAGACAGGAAACAGCAGCACTGACATTGTCATAAATATGAACAAACAAGGGTCACCTCCTACCTAGGAAGGAATACAGGAATAAAGGTGAATGTTTCTATTTTTGGAGTCTCTACAGCATATGTTTTGTTCTTTTAAATACAACCTCTTGCCTTTTCTTGAGGGCATTAATTTAGTAAAAAGCATGTCAGATCAGGCAGGCAGTTGCTTCAATTATGGAGCAGTTTCATACACTGTCTGTCTCCCCTTCTACAACCTGTTTCAAGTTAGCTGTCTAAAACCAGGCCACCAGGATGGGGCAGGCAGGCTAGGCAGGTTATGGCTGGGAACTACAATTTCAGGACAGCTCAGAAAGTTGTATTAGTTTAGTAGATCAGGATGGAGCTTCTCCCTCTCCTCCTCACATTCCCCAGGACATGCCTGTGGTTACAGAGCAAGTTTAACATAATCCCTACCCTTTAGGGTTCAGCATAAAGGGCATTTTCCCAACTCAGGTACTAGCAAAAAAAAAAAAAATGTGAGGGGGAAATGCATTTTAATTATTTTATTTTTCTTAAATATAATAGAACCTTCTAGATTTTTTCCAGAAACAGAAACATTAAAAAATTATACTTTATTACAAATGGAAAACTCAGAGTGCTAAAAAAAAAAAAAAGGCTCTTATTTACAAACAATACTAGGCAGTGCCCAAATAAACAACATAAAAATAACTTACAAAGTCATGAAGTAGTTTATTGACATTAATCAACTTTCATAAAATAAAATAAAAAAGATATGTACATACACAATTTACTTGAAGGCAGGCAGAATAGTTCTTTTTTTAATCAGCCTCCCACAAACCTCCCTCCCACTTTTTTTTCCTTAAGTAATACTACATAAAGCAATCTACAGTTTCTATTGCAGTTTAACCTTTAATACTGAATGATCATCGAATGTTAGGTCCATGCAGGTCTTGGTCAATGTTAAACGGAGATCCGAACGTCTCGTCCGAGCAGGACCAGCACTTCTCGGAGCGGTGCTGGCCGCTCCACTAGCCACTCAAGCCAAAGGCTCGCCAGTCTTTCCACACATGCGCTTTGCAGAGCACAGGCAGGACTCAGCCTTTCAGCTTTTACCATTAGCTTTATGCATCTGCCACTTTGGGTTTCTGTAGTTGTACCACAACATCACAGTTCTCTTTTAAGACAGTCTCTTCAAAACGTTTGCAACTGTTGTGTTAGCATTAGCTGGCACCCGCTGTTGACATGGTTCATGACCTTCTGCTTAAGCTGTGCAACCTGTTCTCTGAGCATGTTGGCAGTGGATGCCAGCTCTGAGTTCTGGGCTTTCAAAGTTTTCACTTTTTCTTCCAACCTGGCAATCCTTTCCAACTTCCTTTTCCGGCATTTGGATGCCGCGATTCTGTTTCTCATGCGTTTTCTCTCGGCTTTGATTCTCTCCTGCGACTCCATGTCAATAGGAGACAGGGGAGGAGTTTCCCCTGGCATTTCAGGTACAGTCTGAGGCTCTTCTTTCAAAGCCTGAAGCCTAGGATGCTGCACCGGCATCTGGGGGTTTATGTGATGCTGGGGCGCGTAGCCCATGCTGTTGGCGTTGTAGCTGGGTGCGGAGTTGAGCGTGTTGGGGTTGAAGTTGCTGAGGTTGGCGTACACCGGGGGCTCGCTGTGCAAATTCGTGTTGAAGCTGCTGCTGCCGGCCATGGAGGACACAGGTGCCATGCCGCCGTTAACAGGTTGAGCGGCGGAGGTCACGCTGGGCATGGTGTTCTGGTTGTGCAGTTCCGCCAGGGCTCTCACAAAGCCCTCCGCGAACCCCTCTTGCTCGTCGGTGACATTTTTGGGGCAGAGGAACTGCGTCGGGGTCGGCGTGGTGGTGATTAACCCGTTGCTGGACTGGATGATGAGCCGCTCCAGTTCGGGGGAGGCTAGTTTCAGGAGTCCCACGTCGGGGGAGGTGAGGATGTCGGCGTTCTTGTTCCTCAGGTGCGGCTTCAGGTTGCTGGATGGGTCGGACAGGTTCAGCGTCATGTTCTGCTTCAGCACTTTGGCGTTATTATATCCATACCC